AAAGTTTTATCATTCTTAATTGGTATCCTTTCTAAGCCAAGAGGGTTCCTTTGGAAGAGTACTGGGCATCTTTGGGTTTGCAAATACTTTGTGACATTAAGTCTCTTCTCAAGACATTGCTCTGTATCATAGAAGCTTCCTGTCTTTAGATGCTTTGGGAGCCATGTTCATTGGGTTTGTACATTGTAGACAGGGCAATTTCTAAAACCTTTTGAGCAGCGAAGCTTCTTAGTTTATAGAAAATAGAACACCTTTAGTGACAGTACTGCCTCACATATGCTTCCTTCCATGACTTAATCACATTGATGTACAACTGCCATTTTGTTTTTATGTCCTTTTGTGAGGGGTCAATGTCTAGGGATAACAGAGATTATAGACATCAGCAGAGGTTCCCTAACAGGCAGAGCAGAGAAACTCCAGGTTCTGCAATTCTATTCTAGCTAGCTGGAGTGATGAGTTGGGATGTGTCGATGAAACATACTGAGCACCATGGGACTCTGAGATACTGGGCATTCAGGAAGCATAATAGATCTCAGTGCTGACCAGGAAATCTCATGGCCATCTTCCCAGTAGTGATTTGCTGGGAATTAAAGCCAATTTGTAGAGCTAAAGATTGGCTGCAGTTGTATCTGAGGGGATTTAACTGCCATACTGGTTACTTAGTACCAGAGCTGAGACCATGTATCCTCATTGTATAACAGTTGAGCTCTGATGAATTAGGAAAGTGGAAAATGTATCCTTGTTAAAGGAAAAGTGCTTTAAGGGCACTAATTTGTATATTTGTCTCTTGGGAAAGAAGGGGAAGAACTCAGTTAAAATATAAATCTGTATCAACTGAATGATAGAATGGATAAGTGCATTTGCTCTTTGCCTTTGAAGAGGTTTGGCTTCAAATCCACCTTACCTACCGGGTAGAGCTGTGGGAAATTCTATAGCTGATTTAGTAACATTGGAGTGATCTTATGGTAGTGATGGTCCAGGAAATAGGACTTCTTCAGGTCGCCTGAAGAAAAATTCACTAACTGTCTAAGTCTATCCCAAGCATGTGGTTGATCCAGTAAAAGATAGTCATAAAAATTCTTGCCGCTTGTATAATTGATTTTATAACTTTTCTTCAGTATTCTAGCCAGATCCCTTTTCCTAATTTTTTACCCTTTTTCTCTTTCATTTTAGATTGCTGGCTGGTGAAAAAATTATATTTGGACCAAGCTTTATGTTTTAAATTCTAAGTCCTGTAGTGCAAAACCAGGCAAAGAGTGTTTCTTACATTTATAAAGGGGTTTGCTAGGAACTATTTTTTGCAGAGCTGCATGTTATATCTTATTAAATTCTTTTTGTTTTGGAACATAAAATCCAGGAGATACTAAATCCATAAAACATATCCTGGATACATTTGAAAGCAAAAAATCTGAGACCCAAAGGATAAGTAGGAAACCAAAAAAGTAAGTGATGGAATACATTGTAAACTTAATCTTAGTAAGGTACCCTGGCTTTCTGGAAATAACTCAGTTTATGAAGTTAATGGATTTTATTTTGTTTGTGCTAAAAACTGGGTTTCACTGGGAAGTTTTTGTCACATATACTAGATGAAGTAAATTGAAGAATCTTTCACATAGAGGTGGTAGCTGGACCCCCAAAAGAACACTCAGATGGTAAGGGTAGAGGAGGAGGAGGTGGTAGCAGTGCCACTCTGAGATGTTGTTCTGCTTGAAGTTGTTAAGGTTTTACTAGGACCCTAACTTTATTGTGACATCAGCCCACTAATTTTGGTTCATTGTGTGTATACTGACTCTGTCTTCCTTTTACTGCAGTAGTCACTCTAAATACATCTTTCAGTATATTTATTAAGTAAATGAAGAGAACCAAAAGAGAAATGTTAAGGTACTTGAAACTAGAAATTAAGTAGTTATTTATTTTAGAAAAGTTTTGTTTAAGTCTTTCAGAGAGAAAATGCAAGTAAAAAGTCTCTTTCTTGTACCAGTAAAATTTTTCAGGGTGAGGAGGGGTTGATCCACTGGTAGATCTTTTGTTTTAGCTCAACTGTTGCTCCTGCTTGCTTAAACAAATATAGCAAACACACAGGAGGAAGTAAAGAAAGGGCATCAAGGAAAGAAGATGACTCTTGCATCTCTAATGCTTGCTTTGTTAATGTATTGTTAGCAGTGCATGATGTATAGTCAGCTCAGTATGGAACAAGTGTGCTTTAACTTCTCCAAGCAAGCTCACTCCCTCAGTTTAGCTTGTCTAAGTAGGGCTCTGTACACTGTTCAGCCTTTGGTACTTATCACAGTGATGATACAGAATTCAGCTGATTTTAAGAACTGACCATACAGTGCTAAATGAGAGGTAGGAAAGGATGAGAATAGAAAAAGAATGTGTCAAGCAAAAGAGGTGGTAATAGTTGTCTTAAAACTTATATCCAAGGAGGTGTTCGGGATTGATAAGTGGGCAGTAGTAAGGCTGTCTAATTCTTTTTTCATTCTAGTCTAAACATTTTTTTTTTTTTCAAAATCAGAAAAGGTTGTCCTCGTGTGGGAATGGTAAATCTCTGACTGTTGTGGCAGCGACCATGATCATACTAATTAGTACTCTTTGAGACCCACAAGTTCATCACTACCCGTCTTAATCTTTCCTTGTACCTCATGCTCTCCCTTTTGAAAGTAATGTTCAAAAGATCAGGCAACCTTATTCTTTTAAATTTAACCTATGAAAACAGTTCTCAGTGATTCCTAAATATGAACTGTTTTCTATTTGAATGTCTTGGTTTGTTGCTAAAACACATGTATAGCTTTATTGGAATTCCTAGTTAAGCCATTTTATAAAACTTATTGTTATTTTTACAGTTTATTGTTTGCCTTCCTTTTACCTATTTTCACTTCGCTTCAGACCAGGGAAAAGAACTGGAAGCCTTGGCATGCAACAGTTCCATCCTGGTAATACAGGAATGTTCATATTGAATTAAACCAGGGGTGGGCAGTTATTTGGGCTTGGGGGCACATAGGGAGTTTTGATAAGTTGTGGTGGGCCAGGTCAACACTTCGCCCCCCGCCCCCCCATTCCCCCACAACAACTCACCAAGACTCCCTATGTGGGATGGGGCTGCAGTTGGGTGGGGAGTGGGATGGGCAGGTGAGTATGGGATCATAGGGTGGGGTCATGGAGTAGTGACAGTGTGGGGCTGGGGCCCAGGGAAGGGCTGTAGTCTGCTTCCTGCACATCCCTGCCCTGTGGGCAGAGTGCGAGGGGCTGTTTGTTTGTGGGGGTGGGGGGGTGGTGCGGGGAAGGGCTGCCTGGACATAGGTCCTGGCCAGGGTGAGGGGAGGAAGGAGGCAGGGGGCACATGTAGCAGAGCTTGCATAGGTGGTGTGGTCTGTGGCTGCCCCCATGGTGCTCCCCATGGGGCTGAGCCCTGCCCAGTGCAGGAGCACAGTGCTGGCTGCCCTTGGTGGGACACAGCCCCATGTGGAGCACTGCTGGGGCAGCTGTGGACTGGATCTAGTCAATTGGTGGGAGCCTCCTGCGGGCCACATCCAATCAGTTGGTGGGCCGGATCTGGCCTGTGGGCCATATTTTGCCCACCCCTGGATTAGACCAAAGGTCCCTCTAGTTTAGTGTGGTACTGATCACAGTGGCAAATAGATGTTTTAGAAAATTGTGTAAAATCACCATATGGGTCAGTTAGGTCAGGTTTGCTTGAGAGAAGATGCTTTTTATCTCCACTAAATTGTGCTTCGCTTATACCCCTAAAGCATGCTGGTTTTGTGAATTGCAGAAACCAACCAGTGTATTAAAATTGTTATGAGAGCTACATGTCTACAAATATCAGCTTACTCCTTTGTGAAAAGTTCACTTGCACAACACAAAACACTGCTCTGGTCTTATTGTCTGGAGAGTATAATGCCCATCACTTTCCCTTAACCACAACATCAAAAATGGTTCCTTTAGAACAAGATTGAAATGAATTGGCGCGAGAATATTAAGTATCTTGTATCATAGAATCGTAGAAGGGCTTGAAGGGACCTGTAGATATCATCTAGTTCAATCCCTATGGATTAAATATTTTTGGTATCTAGGCTAGCAGTCTAGCAACATTCAGAAATGCACTTTTTCAAATGACGTTTTGCATTAGGAGCCTCCAGCATTGCAGATTTTCTGCATATAAAGTGGTTAAACTAGTCCACTTCATACAAGCTTTGTTTAAAGCGTTGTTTCAACAGAAGCTTTATTGCCATTCAGTAAAAAATACTGTTCATGAAGGGAAATGTAATGAAGATGCTTGTTAGCAGTTAAAGTTTTGTTGTGAACAGTAGGTAATGCCACCTGATGATAACAGTAGCATTGTCCATAGAGTTATAGAGAAATAGGGCTGGAAGGGACATCAAGAGGTCCTGTTCAAACCATCCTATACAAACCATAGATGCTAGAAAGGATGGTGGCCAAAATTTACAGCGACTCTTTGTTAGAAGGATCTGAGTCCCATCATGCATAGAAATATTATTAAGAGGATGAACTGAGGAAATAGAAAGGCCATGTATTAAAGCAGCAGATGCTGGTAAGACCTCCATTAACTTTTCCTGTGTAGAAATCAGAAGAATAAAAAGGTTTTATCACTGAATCTTTTAAATTTTAAGATTTTATATTTATTTGCCAATATTTTTCTCTTGGTATAGTTAGTTTTGGCTTGGATATTGCAAGGTATTGATTATCTCCTGTGAGATGCTGGCAGATTTCATCTCCTACTGGGCTCCTCTGGAAGTGGAGAGTACTGAATATCAAGTAGGAAGCACTCGGCATCTGGCAGGAATTGGGCCATTTACTCTGTTATGAATTTTATAAAATAAATGAACAAAGAAAATGTGTTTTGTGTGCAGTAACATAACATAGTCAAATTTATTTAAATTATATAATGTTTGCTCTTCAAAAACTGACTTGTGATCTTTTAGAAACTCAACTTACAACATGAAATTCATTCTTAAACCATCTCAACCTCTATTTTTCAGAAGCTGCTGGTTGCAAGACAGGCAGGAATTAATACCGGGACAGCCATGTCAAGAGGATTGTATCATCCAGCAACAATCTTTATGGGCCGCCAAATGTCAGCCATCTCAAGCATTGAAGATTTCAGTACACAGCAGAAATCTTCCCAGCCCACAAAGAGCTTTTCAATTTCTGACCCACATTCATGCAGACAGGCAGTACAGAGCAGTAATATGACAGACAGCTGTGTAGTACAAACTAATAGTGATATACAGTGCTTAAATAAGTCTGACAAAATAGATGGGAAGACATATCTCCCGATAGGTGAGAAAATGCCAGTCACATCCAGTATATCATCTGAGAATGGAGGAACTCACTTCCTAGAGACAGAAAGCAATACAAATAATGGCAATAGTAATTTAGTAGAAAGCAAAAAATCTGCTCAACTCAACTCCCTGTTACATGAAAGATTAAGTCCAGAGAACAGAACTGCTGATTTTAAGAGTGACAGTTGTAGCAGATCAGTAGAGGAAGTATTGGCAGCTGAGCACTTCGTAGCAAAGGAGGAAAGATCTAAACAGCAAAGCCCATTGGTATCTCCTCCCAAACATATTGTTTCTGAAAATGAACATCCAAGAGAAGGTTTTCCAGGTATGATGTTGTTTATGTATGCTGGCCTTGCTATGTGTTGTTTTCTTTCATTCACCCAGGTGTTTAAAGTGCACCCATTATCAGAGGATCTGAGTAATTCCCCAAATGCAAAGGAACCCTAAATTTTTTCAGCAGCAAAAGGGGGAAAGTTATGGAATGGCTTTGCAGCAGGTGCCTGCAGCTGTCTTATGCTATGGAGAAAGCAGTAAAGTTTAGTGGACAGGGTGCTGGACTAGTAGTTCAGGAGACATGGATTATTTTCCTAGCCCTGCTACTGACTAGCAGTGTGTCCTTAGCAAGGCATTTCCCCCCCCCATACTTTTTGTTATGCTTTGCACTCGATGGCTAGAAATGGACATCACCAAAAGAAATGGATCAGCTTTACTGGGATATACCTTAGCACAGTTGGTCTGCTTTATTGGGTGAAATGCCTGTTGCCCATTGTCCTATGCATTGATCTTGCAGGACAATGGGCAGCATGTTCCCTACTTCCAGAGATGGGCCCTCAGCAATCTTCAGGATTCCCAGAGATTGTTAGGGGTATGTCTCTGAAAGCAGGGAAAGCCGGGGCACTCTGATGTGGTCCTGGGCCTAGGGCTGCCAATCACTGTTATAAATATTTTATGGCACTGCAGATGTGACAAAAGATGACAGCTGCTTCCATCCTACATGTGTCTTGTCTATTTATATTGTAAGTTGTGTGATGCAGGGACTTCCTTTTGCAATCTGTTTGTACAGTGTTTAGCACAACGAGGCTTGGATTTTGGTTGACACTTCTGTAATACAAACAAGAATTGTAATGTTGAACCCTCTCCTAGTGTGTCTCAGCATTGCAACTCAGAGATGGGTAGATGCTGACACTGAGCTAGTGAAGCCTTAATTCTCCATGTGGAGATCATGGAGAGGTACCTGGTGGCTGTGGCAGCAGAATAACTCTTCATCAGTTTCATCTCAGCTGCTTAACAGTGGAAAGGGCTTATTCCCACGTACTTTCTTGGATCCCCTGCATAAAGCCTTTTTTTCCTTGGACTTGGTGTTGGGTTTGGAGCAGTGGCTATCCCTTGTTCTTTTGTGCACTGATGCATAGTTCTGCCTATGAGTGATTGGGCTAAACTGTCCCTGGTAGCCATGAAACTAGCTGGAGTTAAATGCTAATCAGATGACCTAGTTCACTGGATTACAAACCACACAATTGTTCATCGGGAATTTAGTGATGAGCTTCATACTTGAGAAATGATCTAATCCAGGGCTGTCCAGCTTGTAAGTGGCTGGGGACTGCATGCCCTGCAGGCTGCAGGTATGGGGGTCATGGCCCCCTGAGCCACATAGATGCCCCTGCTTCCTCCCCCCACCCCTCCCTGCAGTAGGTGCCTACACCTCCCCCTGCTGCTTTGGCCTCCCTCCACTGCAGCACAAGCCCATGCAGCACCCCCCCCCCCCCCCCCCCCCCCCCCCCCCCCCCCCCCCCCCCCCCCCCCCCCCCCCTCCAGTGCTGCAACAACCCTGCATGGATTGTTGGACACATCCCCTTCTTTCCTCCTCCATCGCTGCCCTGTGCACCACAAAGCCTTGACCTTACCCAGAGTGCCCTGTGCCATGTTGCGCCATCACCTGGGGTGGGTGCAGAATATGAAAGCCAGAGGAGGGATGGAGGAGCCCAACCATCCTGGCTGCTGATGCAGCCACAGTGATAAGGAAATAATGGCCAGGTGGGAGCCCAGGGGCCAAAACTTAACCCTCTGTGGCCCACAGGCTTTCAGTTGGACACCTCTGGTCTAATCGAACTAGTAATCCCTCTGCTAACAGTCCTGAATTCAAAATTTCTAAGGTTTTCCTTGAGAGTATTTGGGGGGCGGGGGGGAATCAAGTTTGCTGATGCATAGCTTTCTTTGCATTGGTGGAAAGGTCTTTCTTCCCTCCAGGTCCAAGGTCCTGGAAAAGATTTGGTGGAATAAATTAGAGGTGAAATAGATAGTCTTGGTACAGGCACATCATCTGCCATATTCAGATCTAGTAGTTCTGTCCTCAGAGCTGACACTCTTGTTTTCTTCAGTTCTAGTTATCTTTTCTTGGGCAAAGAAGCAAAGGTTAGAATTCAGGCCTCTTGACAGATTTGAAACCAGGAGCGAAAAGAGGAACAGGCCTCTGAGATTTAGCCTCACTAGCCTTGTGGATGTTTTAATCATCGGTTGCCATTTCTTTCCTTGAATGTGGCCTTCCTAGTGGCCATAATTTTAGCTGCTAGGAAACTTTGCGAATCTAAGAGTGTCACAGACTGAGGCTGTATATTGTGTCTCCCATTTAGAATTTGTTGAGACCATATGTTTGTTTTGGCTCCTGTTGTCCAGGTCAGGGCATTTGTCTTCCCAGGGCAGTGCATGGGAAACTCAGTCCTTTGGCTCAGATCCTTAGGCATTTTATTCGTTCCAGGGTCCTGAGTAGACAAAAAGAGTTGGAGTGGGGTAGAGGACATAGGTTCTTTCTGGAGCCTGATTTATGCTGCAGTCCATTTCAGTATCCTCTGAACAATCAGCAGTAAACTCTCTAAAGCATTAGTTTGAAGCCTGGCAGACTTCTTTGTAGGGAACTTGCAGGGTGTACAAAAGTGGGAGCAAACTTTGTCCTTTATCACCAGACTCTCAGGTAGCAGAGGTCTGCTTCCCCATTGAACTGGACTTCTTTCCTTTTTAAAATCTCTCTCCAGCCTTGACACACCTTGCAGGTCCATAGTAATTCTTGAACTCATTCTTAATTGATGTGGGTCTTTACAAAGACTTTCTGTTTCCTCTCATAAGATTAAGATGATCTTACTGTCATGTCCATGTCCACAATTAAAGGTAGTATCAAAGTTTCATCTTAAGCAGTGTAATAATATTTTACTTTGGAAGGTATGCTTGACCTCTGCCTGTGGCTAAATTTTGTTTCCCTCAGAAAGTTTATGGAAAATAGTTCATCTAGTTTTGAGATAAGGAGAACAAAAGGTCAGTAGAGTTGTTGATGTTGACTTATTGTTTCAAATGGTCTGAAAAATATTTTAATACCTTAGGAGTTTGGCATAGCAGTCTGAATTTGCAGAGGAAGAATGCTGAGGGCAGAGAGGTGCCTTTTGCCATGCTGGTGAATATCCATCCAGAATTGACTACAGGTTCATCTCTAAACACAGTGTTCATACTACCTGTCAATTGTTTGTGAGACCTGTTCTTTACCAGTATATTTATACTGTTGTGAAAAATCATATCCCAGTATAGTTCAATTGTACATAAACAGTTGTGAGCTGTATTGCTAGAAGGTCCCATTATATCAGTACTAACTAATAGTCTGTTAGTAATGACAAGGTGCAGGCTGGGATGGAGTGCTGCCACCCACCACCCCACACTGCCACTGTCTTCCGGGAGCGGGGAGTGGAGCTTGCCCCTCTGTCCCCCTCGGCCAGCACCCCATGCCGCCGCCTGCAGGGAGCAGGGCCACCCTGTCCCCGCCGTTATGGTGGTGTGCTGCTGCCACTGCCTCCTGTCCGGAACGCTCTTTCAGTACTCTGGTTGATAGTTTCAGACAACCAATCAGAGTGTGAATAAAGCATTACAGACAGACAGACAGACTAAGGCTTTTATAATATTAGAATAACTGCACAGTATGTATAATAGAAATTGTTCCAGTGTGGTTGAAGAAGTACAGCTTTACAGCAAAGTCTACGTAATAACATTGGGGAACTGCCATTTGTGCATATGAAGTTGAATTCACTATAGGCCTACTCATTTCCTGAATATTCCTTACCCAGCTGAGAAACTTGCTTTGTATACATATGATACACATTGTTTTTGCCTATCAAAATATCCTTTTGCTCAGTGGAAAATGATTTCCAGCTCTCTTCTCCTGTCCAGTGTACTACTTGCTGGCTAAGAATGTCTGTTCCCTTCTAAAAGCTTGATGCACTTACTATTGTCTTTAATGGAGTTATTCTTTGAGCTCAAGTAGTAGAGATCAATAACTCAAGAACAGTTTGTTCAGTTTTCTTAAGACCTTCCAGAGATATTCTCCTCTGCCTTTCCAGTAAATATGACAATTCTTAAGTCATACCAGTTTTCCAAGCTGTATAACAATTGTTAAATGGAGTTTTGTATAATCAAAACTGATGGCAATTTTACCAATGGAGGGAGAACCCTCCCATTCCACCTCCCGGCATCCCCCCCTCCCAAAGTAATGCAATGATCATACAATTTTTGTGGCAGAACCTGGCCGCATCATCAGCTATTCCTGTTGGCAGCTTATTCTCTTCTTTGGCATCCTGTTGCATATTTTCTTGTGGCTTTCTGTACCTGCCTCCTTCAGGATTTTATTTCTCATTTTCTTTCCTTCGTCTTTGACACATTTACTACTTGTTGATTGCAGGGAAAGACTGACATGTTTTTTGAATTGGAAAAACAGAACACCAACTTGGCTTGCATTAGCCTTAGGGCTCTGTGATGCAGCTTTGGCAGAGTGCCCATTCTCTTCTCTCTGCTTCCGTAAGAAATGTTGAGGTAGGCAACATGATTAGAAAGCAGTTAATTTAATTTTTGAACATAATACTTGTACCTTAAGGGAAACATACATTTTGATTCAAAATTAACATAAGCCTTTTGTCAAACGCTGCCATAACCACCTCAAATGGCCAGAGGAGGGCTGGGGGAAGAGGAGGGGGACGCCTTTTGTCTTTCTCTTGCCAAACCCACATTACAAAGTAAAAAGGTTAATGTAATCCAGGTCTGAATTTTGTAGATAGTTTCATAGTAACTAGGGTCAGGAGGGACCCGAACAGATCATGTAGCCTGACCCCCTGCCACAGGCAGGACTGAATGCCGGGTTTACAAG